ATACATTTTTCTGGCAGTCGTACGCTCAATTTAGTCCATGACTGTATATGTACAAAAATACAAAATAAAATAAATAATAAATGAATGAATAATAATCGTTGTAAAACTACTCTAACTAATTGAAACTTGTATAGGATATTCTCAAACAAAATATACAAAATATGCTCGAAAATCAATTGCGACGATCGAAAACCAATAAATACTCGAATATAGTCAAAGCAATCTTGTGTGAAGCGAAGAAAAAAGCAAAAAGAGAAAAGGAGAAGAAGAAAATCCATTTGATTCTGTCATCGTTAAATTAATGCTCATCAAAAAAGAAGAAAAATTTGCAACAAGATAAATTACTTAAAGTCATTTGATCATTTCGCTAACCGAAAAACCACTAACTATATTTTATATTAACCGATTTTAATATTCGACCACATAACCGCAATTAATAAACATTTTAGATTGTTTACTAGATTTTAATTTGTTTTCACACGCAATTTCGTTATATATACACAGACGTAATGTATAATTGGCATTTTCATGGGGACTTGTACCGGGCGTCGGGTTTTCTGCGTCACCAAATGTGAACACGTGAACACATATACAGAGAGACAGAAAGAAACAACGCATGGAAATGCGAAAGTAAAAGCAATTGAACAAGTATGCAATTATTCGGCATGATCAAGCAAAATGGTTTAATACACGCCAAGCAAACACCACATGATGTATACAAGATAAATGCGGTAGCATAGAATGCTAGTGCGGGACTAAGAACAATTCCACGTTCAAAAGTAAATGTAGAAAAACGAAAAATAAGCGAAAGAAAACGGTGAAATAACGACACACATCTGAAATGTCGAAGCGACGACATCGAAGGCAACTGTGAAATAATTTAAACGGTAATAAATTAATAAATTTGTTTTTGATACGCAAAAAGTAGCGGGCGAAACACATTTGGGCTACCAGACTACATGGTGGGAGACGACACCACGACGTTTGAATTTAATGACTCATGGTAACACAACGAAAATCAATATATTACATACGGAATACACATTCGGCAACACTCCGTTGATGCTGAGCTGTGTGAGAGCGAGCACGAAGATGGTGACAGTGGCGGTGGCGACAATTGAAGAAACGAACGAACGAACGCAAGCGTGCGGTTCAGTTCAGTTGAGTTCAATTAGATGCCGATAAATTAATTAACATATACTGATCGTAAGCACATTCAACGAGTTCTTCTCTAAATCGAAATATGTGTAAATATTTGCGCTGCGCAACTGTTCATCAAAAATTCTTATAAATTCGATGGATTCAGTGAATTTGTGTGCCGTGCGAGCTTCGCTTCAAGCACTCTTTACAACTGAAACGATTATTATGATTGTAGCGGGCGTAATGCGCCACTTGATGCTTGAGCCGAAGATTTATTAATAAAGTCGGTTTCATTTCGTAGGGTTAATTTCGATGCGAAAACAGAAATTGTGATTGATTATTGTGTTGAAGCGAATGATTGAGAGACAGAGTTCGACATTTGAAAACAACCAATAGTTCGTTCAATATTTGATTTCGAAATGGGTAAAGTGTTTGGTGTGTGTGCGCATGCATTGTGCACATTGTCTTTTGATTAAAATGGCAAATACAGTATCACGAAATCGAAAATACCAACGTTCGATTAGTTGTGAAATCTTTGGAATTCATTAATTTGGATCGATAAAATGTCGAAGACACACGACAAAACGAAACGCAATGATCCGATTAACCAGAATGCAACGTTCCATTAATGGGATTGCGTCTGATTACAATGGTGTCTGAGACACTGAACAAATATTAGGAAATAACAATCAAATTTATTCAACTTAAAAGATTGTTTTAGAGCTCTTTTGCTGCATTTGTACAACTGAATGCACCAAAATAGAACAAAGTTTGATACGCTCACATATCAAAGCGCAATTCAGAACATTTGCATAACAATGATTTTTGACATTTGCATAACAATTTGTTGTATATTGCACGTAGAGTGTTTGTGCACAAAAATGGGTGTTCTGCATTCACATAATTCGTTTTCTCGCGCGAATGTTTTGATTGAATGCATCGATTTGCATTCAACTGATGAACGAAGGGGTGAGAGGAAAAGAGTTTGTATTGCGACGGTAGTTGGGTGCAAACTCATTACAGATATTTGAAAACGAACAAAAATTACACAACGCCATTCACAATACATATAGAATTGACAGCATTCGAATGCATGGATGCGATGTAAATTTTTAACAACAAACTCATAAACAAAATAAGCAAAGGCCATTTGGGAATATCACATTGAATTCTACTGTTTCAGCGCTGTTTGAATGTGCTGTTAAATTTTTTACAATGCAATAAACTGTAGTGGTAAACTAATGATCGTAAGCTCTATCAGTGAGCCAAGTTACTATATCGTTAGCCATAAGAACTTATACGAAAAATAGCACAGGTCGAGTTGCCAATCCAAAGCATCAACAGAAATGTTGTGTAGACATTAATAATGCGACAAAATCAGAAAAGAAAGAACGCATTGGGAACCTCGACGCTGGTTGGCACTGTTCCAATGACAATTACACATTTGTTCATATATTTTTGTTTTGTACATTTCGTTTAATTCACTTCATTCACGTATTGCATTCATCTTCGAATTGATTCAGTCATTTATTTCGTTTTGGCGACACCAGTCGGCGCGGCGCGTCTCATCAATTATGCGTCTGAATAAGAGTTTTAAAAATATTCCGTGAAAACATGAGATGTCTGAGCTCCGACTTCAATGGAGCTAGAAATGGAGTGGGAAAAATCGAGACGGAGAATGGGCCTCCGAAGACGCAGACCCCCGCAAGATAGAGGAGAAAGAGCAAACAATACTGATTGGAAAATGTGGAAATAACCAGTATGTTGAATAGCTTTTACAATTCCGACAGCTAATCGCTAATGAAATTTAAGCTTCATTGTATCATCAGTTCGCCGATTCATATATTTGCATGGTGCTGCCAAATACTGTATTACTCCCGCTTGAGTAATTCATTACAAAGAAACGTTGAGACATCGGGTATTCAATGAATTATTTATAGATCTTCATCACTCTATATATGTTATATACTCACTTTTCTAACAGTTGATTGCACATATTAAATGTCATAGCCATCAGTGCTACCATGATGTCGGCCAAAGCTAACGATATAACAAAATAATTCGTTATAACCCTGTATGATAAAAAAAAAAGAGGAAAGAAATGAGATGAGTAACAAAAAATACACACAATATATAATTGGCTGTTATTGACAATGGGTTCCTTAGTAATTTTACTTTTTATTTTCATTTTGGTTACAAAGTTGTTTGCAAACAATGCAATCGAATTTAAGTCAGTTGGCGACAGTAATAAGTATCATTGGTCTCGTGTTTCACAATTAACAACTGAGATGTTAATTTTGCGAAAAAGTTGAAAAAGTGTTTTCACAGCAACGAATATGTAAAAACCGGAAAAAATACCCATTTTCACTAATTTCTCGTGATTTTTATAAATCAATTGAAATGAAAACGCTCTCGTAGCGAACGCCTATAGTATCGTGTACACAAATCCAAGATATTTCATACAATGGAAGCAACATATTTTCTTGACTTGACTCTGTATGTTAGCTTTGATCACATCGTTCTCTCCGCTGTCATCATCGTTGTCGATTGTCGACAAAGATGACGACGATTCACTGTTTATGGAAGAGCATAAAAGTGGCAACTGTTTATTGCCATATAGAAATTTATGCAGACGTGATTGTGGAGAGTATAGAAATCTTTGGCAGAGACTTTTTGGGATCATGATATGTGTCATTTGCCATTTCCAGTCAATGGAAAACATTTCGGATTGAGCACGGCCAAATGGGGAAAAATCGCAATGATGAAGAAAATGTTTTCGATGAGATGTGAATGAAGCTGAATGTGGCATTGACAGAGAATGTTCTCAATTTTTTCTTCTTCGCATTTGTGTGCTCAATAACTGAGCACAGAGACAATAGAAAAAGTCGTTTGCAGGCAGTTATTTGCTCTTTTTTCCTCTTATTTATTTTTTTTTTTTTTTATTTCAGCAGTGACCCAGTTCATGCTCATATGAGCATTTTATATGAAATATGTTTACTTCCGTTTGCTGTTATTACCCAAACTGGATTTGGGCATTTTTGGCGCGTGGCTCCTATAACTGGATTGAAAACCAGATGAGAACCAAACAACCGGGCAAAAGTCGGCATGACAAAGAGGAAGAAGACGAAGAAAGAGAAACATGAAACGAATTTCTGACCGTTGAACGTGAATCACATTTCTATTTTACCGTTTTAGTAGATATTTGCCGCAAACCGAATGACTTGAATTCCATTTGATTTTAAGCCATTTTTTTTTTTCTGTAACTTACCTCAATTTTCTATTTCGCATCACAGATATAATAACTAGCAGATTGCCAAAAACGGCAGCTATTATAATTGATATCATTATAGATGCCTTGAATACAAAAAATAAAACATCTTTCCAATTTTGCTCCTTGACAACGCTTGGCGAAACGGTGCTTTGTATCGATGATGCGGTATCGGCTGACACAACAGCGGCAGCGGCTAAATCTAGTGTCGTTGTTGTTGTTGGCGATGTTGTTGTTGTTGCTGTGGCCATTGCATGGTACTGATGCTGTCGTTGTGATTGCTGGATAATGGACAACCGAATGCAAAATGACAAAAAATTACAACGTGTTTATGGCAGTGAAACATTTCAAAAGTGCAAATTAAGATGCTAAACAATTTTAGCTTTCATTTAATTATTACTGTTAAATTCTCGTGAACGTTCTTCCATTATCTAAAGGTTTTTTTTTTTTCTTTTTGGAAGACGTTCGTGATTCGTCGTTCGAATATAATTTCAACTTGAAATGAATATTTAAAAAAAAAAAAATGAAAATATTGGTTATTCTATTCTAGATTCTACCAAATTTAGTTAAAATACTATCAAATGACTTACCAATGCGTTCGATGGTGGTCCGGATGAACCATAAATTCCAAATATATTTTTCGATATTATTAGCAAAAATATTATTATGTATTCTGGAGTTTTATTTAGTAGACACATTTTTATTGCTTTTAATTATTTATGTTTGTATGATTTACTATGAAAGTTGATGTGTATTTTTGTATTTATCTCTATCTGTCTCACTTGCTCACGCTGGGGTATCAATCTGGATGCTACGTATATTTCACTAGTTTTCTTTTAAATCGTTGGACTGTTGTTGTCGAATTCTCTATAAGTAAATAATGTTTCTTCCTTTTGGCTTGCTTTTGATGTTGATGTTATTGTTGTGTGTGTGTTTGTATATTTTTTTTTTCTAGTTTTAGTTTGTTTTTTCTTTTCCTTTTAATAATTGTGTCGATCCACTCAATAGCGTACGTGTCTGCTGTTCACCATTCGGTTTTTCCTTCGTTTTGTATTATTAAATTATGTATGTTTAATGATAATGAACTGTCGACAAAAATTGACGACAAAGAAGACAAAAGAAGACGTTGGATGTTTGATAATAGATGCTTGTAGATACTTTTGCGCTGTGTGCGCTTATAATCTATATAGAAATAGCAGCGATGCGATTATATTTGTATCAAAATCAATACACTTGGTTTTTTCTTTCGACTATTTGGTGTGTCGATCAGTTGTATTTGGCTTGTGTTCAACTTAATAATACGATTTATACTGTTGGCCATTGTAATTTTAGCACATTCGCCTGAAATGAGATAGAAAAAGACAAACAAACATCAAATATTAGATGCGAGTGAAATTGACAAGAATAATGCTAATGACGTTGAAAAAAAAAAAAAAAAAAATTAAACAGCTATTGAGATTTGAGAGTCGGTTTGAGTGTCATATTAGATTTTTGCCTGAATATTTTGTCGTTTGGCATATAGGTAGGTCTATTAAAATACGCATTCAATTTGACACTTAATCTCGCTTACAATTTTCATTTTTTTGTGTCTTTCATTTCGTTCGTATATTAGAATTGGTGCGAGTAGCATGTGCGCTCTAATAATACTGAAAACGATAAAATTCAAAATGACAAAAAAGTTGAAGCAGCACACTGACATTTGGCCAAATTTTTGCTTTAATTGATTGATTCTTTTTACAGTGCAAGTGAAACATATAAAACAAACGCTTCAAACGACAGTGTCACGTCATTGAGTCATGTTTCTTCTTCTCAACAATTTCAATTTTTCTATGGCGAGATCATTAATGCTTATTATCGAGCTTATGGTCATTTGCTTTATAGCTAACGTTTCCAATTTATTAGGTACTTTGACCGTCGAGCCGATATAGCGGTCCAATATCGAATGGCAGCGTCAAGTATACATTTTGCTTTTATTCGTTGCTTAACGCAGAGTAATATATCGTATAACGACCTTCTGAATAAAAATGCCAATGGGATCAGCTTAGGCAATTATTTCAACATGTGGCCATACCCCGATGATCCGGAGACATATACTGTTTTATTTTTTGTTTCATTCTGTCGACTCGTTGATATTCATATTTTCCATTAGCATTATTATTGTGATACACGCTTTCTTTTTTGCGCTTGGATTGATCATAACAAAGCGCACGTTTCGAATGCGCCGTGCCATTATAAAGTAACTCGAGTACTTTATCATATCAAATTAAACACTCAATTGTTTTCAGGGCAAATTGTCACAATTGCGCTAAATTCCATTCACGTCTATCTGAGTGTCTGAAACGTTTTATTCGAAGTGCACATCAGACAAATCGAAGTGATAGAAAACAATTTATATACATAATAAAAAAAAAGGAGTATGTATAACGACCTGAACAACAAAAAAACACATGAACTGACCAGAATATAGCAAATAAGCGACATTCATAGACAGCAGATGAACAGAAACACATACATTATATATGATATGGAGAAGAGGACGAAGAAAAACATCCAAATGATACACGTACTTATTAATGCCATCGTTACTCATTACACGCAATGAAAAGCAATAAAAAGTAGACTGGATGGCCAAATTGTGAACAGCAATCGAAAGTATACAAATCACAAGCGGCCGTGAATACATTCCATCTGTGTTAGTGTATGTATGTGTATGTTGGTGCAATATTTACATCACATTCATTTCTCAAAATGCGATTCAATAAGCAACAAAGGAAAGGTAAGTGATACACACTGAGTGCGAAACAGGGAACAAAATGGTAAGAAATATGGTAGCCAATTCGAGTGTTTTGAGCCACACGTGCACACATGAGATGGCGCACAGCACACACCAAAAGAAAGATAAATGGTGAGCGCCCGTATGATGTGCGTTACAAAACATAAATACATATAACGCCGTATCATCAACGTTAACGGCAATTTTATCATCCTCAATCAAGTAAAACGTATCCTTTTGCCTGTCTTCTGCGTTGCCCCCGCCCGACACTTTTTCATTTCAGTTTTTTTTTTGTTCGTTTCAATTTTTCCCTCTTCTTCTTTCATTTTTTTTTTTCCTTTTTCTCTGGCTCGCAAAACAACATCAATAACAAAAAAAACACACATATCAAAAAACGCATATTGAGTTTTTCTTTTTTGATCCACGTGAAAGAAAACCTAACAAGCCATAATGCGTGTAAGATTCGATTTAGTTCTTCTCCTTCTTTTCTATCCTTCATTTTCTATAAATCGTTTTTGTACGTAACAATTTTTTCCTTCATTCCTCTCCTTGTATCATTCCATCATTCTTCTACTTCCTCTGTTCAGTTTTTGTTCAGCTCTTATTTCTCCCTCGTTGAATGTGTTGATGCTATTGCTATAAATTTCCATTTTATTGAACATAACTCTTACACCAATAACGATTGGTATTTCAATACTTTTGGTAAAATTTTCCGTTATTTTCGCATATGCTCGGGCTTGTGTTCATTTTCTGTTGGGAAAAAAGTTTTCCGTTCACATCTTTCACCATTTCTACATTCACAATGCCAGAAAGATTACCAAACATACTATACAGGTTAGTGTGGGCTTTCAATACTTTCATTTTATGTCTGTGTATTGAAAAGCTGTCACTAGGCCAAGCATTTTCTAAATGATGATAAGTGAATATTTCCATTGTTCGATATGCAGTGATGCTATTTTGCACTTACTTTTTCAGGTGGGAATGAAATGAAACTTTTGAAAAATCCATCCAACACTTTAGATATCTTCAAAAGAAAGAATGACTAAGATTTTTGGAAGATATTGGCAGTGTCAAATGTTGTCCTTCTTTGACCAAATCACGCATCACCGCCAAAATCTCTATCATACTTTGATTCGTTTCAAGATTCAAATTAAATGTGATCCGATTTGATTTAATCAAAATCTGACAATTGACATCAGCAGAATGCTATTTAAGAGAGCACAAAATCAGTGACAAGTGACAGAAAACTATATCGTGACAAAAACAGTTGATAATAAATATAGAAGGCTTGCAAAAGGATTCACCACGATTTATTGTTGCATGAAGAAGAGAAGTGGAAAAACAACACAAAATCCCTTTAATCTGCTGTAGAAATAACTCCGAACAAAATATATGGACTTTCGTGATTTTATCGATATGTGAGAGACATCCCGTGTGCAAATAAAATGACTAACAGTCACTCAGTTGTATGTAACTGTATGTAGTGATACACAACTAAAACTGGCTAAGTTGATTGAAATCATGCGTTTCGTATGGAGACCATCACGTTTAGTTATTCTTTCAGTCAGTCGACTAATTTGGGACATTTTGACTAAGTGTGATTTGTGATTGAAGTCAACTGCAGTTGCTTATTTTGTTCCAGACAATCACTTTTAGTCAGTTAAAATGTCCCAAATTAATAAAAAAAATTCCACACGGGATGGGAGAGGCTACGTACATACAACCGAAACCGGCAACTACATAGCGAAAAAAGTAGTGACAAGTATTGTTTGCAAAACGATGAACACTACGATGACAATGAGCAAAGAGAGAAGAAAAAAACTATTTGGCATAACATTAAATGGCTTTTAGTGTTTCTCAACACGTGAAACTGTTCGGTTCGCGCTCCAAATAATACAACTAAACAGTTTCACAATCGAATGAGTTGAAAGAGCTTTTCAAGTGGATGATAGATGTGTTTTTTGTTCGAAAAAAAAAGAAGCTTTGTGCTCAACACTAATGTCGGAGAATAAAAGATCTTCCAGCATATACACAGAAGAAAAGACATTTCGTATTCACATGGAAAACCTACATTAACCGTCTTCACATATTTCTTTTCGTTCAATTTGCTCCTATGTATTTATAAAATACGCAAGCAAGATAGAGACCGGAAGAGTGTGAAAGAAAGAAAGGGCAGAAAAAAAGAACAAACAAACGAACCGAAAAAAGTGTGAAGGTTTTTTTTTTTTACTCATCTAAATTGATGATTTGACGTTTAGTTCAACTAAACCACAAACATGATCGTCTTCGGCAAAGATGGATGGTTACCATTTTATCTCTTTCTCTCTACCTCACTCGCGCTCGTATTCACTGATTGCAAGAATAAATGATCGAAAATGGGGCGCAATGTAAGCATAAGATGCATTCAACTGAAAATGACAATCGAATAGACGAATGAATTCGATATACAGTTGGTTTAACGGAAAAAGGAACCGGATGAACCCAAACTGTTTCTGAAAGAGAAAACTCTTCCATTATAATGCCATCAACAAATTTTTTCCTTCGTTCTGAATAGGAACGAACGTGTAATCATCACAACTGAAGAAACCACTCAATTAAACATTTTTGCATGTTCGCCCCTGTCTGACAAATGTTGGGACAGTTGAAAATTTCTCTGAGGCACAACCATATCCGGTTCGATAGTTGAAAAATAGAGTGGTGTCGACTAAAAACACATCGCATCGTCTGCTTTTCTCGTATTCGTAACCGCTTTCTATGCTATCGTTCAGGCGATTGTCTGTTTGCGTTCCGGTTTGTTAAATCAAGCAAAGTGAACGGGTGACAAAAGCGTGTAATGCTAAAAGCAAATAGGCGCACATTAGAACAACATGAACAAGAGCACACAAACGATTGCAAGAATGCAGAGACGAAGTGGAGGTGCATTACGACAATTTCGTGATGAAACTGGGAATATAAAAAAGCAGCTGATATCTGCCGACGGCGCTATGACAAGGGTTGTAAAGATTTGATCTTATATATATATATATATACACACACACAATTTTATGTTGAGGCCGTCAAAAGCGGATCTCTAAATCCATATTTAGAATAGGTGCCACTTGGAAATATCAGTTATCAGACCAAATTTATCCGAATAAAATCTTAAGCTGCGCGTGTGTGTGTCTGTGTCGAATTATAAGTCCTATTTTTTTATGTTTTTATGTCAAAACACCAAAGTAGGAATCACCATTACATGCACCCGCTTAACAACAATGCAAGCAATAAAGTCTTTTTGTTCGATGCCGAAAATACAACGTGTATTTAAATAGAGGGACTGAAACGTGTGAACCCACTTCATTTTGTGCGTATGTATGTGTGTGTGTATGTATGTATGTGTGTGTGTGTGTGTGTGTGTGTGTGTGTGTGTGTGTGTAAGGCAGAAGACCGTACTGCAAAGAAACGGTATTCGGAACCATTTTGAAGAGCCAAGACCACTTGCGATCATATCGCTTGTCGCAAAGGTGATGAAGTAAAGTAGATACAGCAAGGATATTGGTCTGGTGTTGACGTTTGATGGATGTGATCTGAAATTGGCCTGGTGTTTTGTGAACAATTTCAACCACCAAAATAATATGTATCACAAGCACTACAACTCAACGGGAGATTTTGTCAAAGACGAGGCTAAACTAAATTAATTTAACGCAAACTTTAAATGGATTAATGATATCAGTTGTTCAAGGTGCACGTTCTTTCTGTGGCCAAGGATTTAACCTTTTCCAACTTAGCAATCTATCGGTACTTCATCTCGTGTGTATTTTATTGGTTTCTTTCTTTGACATACGACGATGTTTGTAACGTTTCTTTATCTTGTAATAACTTAATAATATTTCTCGTGCTCTCAATGTGATTTCCATACAAATCAATATTCTACCTGCAAAATATTCAAATGGCTGCCAGCAAATGTGAGTTCTTCTGAGAGCACATCAAGATATGGAATGGTGAATCCAAAATTTTGTGTGCTGTGCTGTGCTGTGCTGTGCGTTACCTTTTGCATGAGCAAATCCCAGCAGTTGGGCACAACAGCAACAAAATCACACATAGAGAGAGGCAGTACACAATAGTGGGATAAGATCAAATGTAGTTTAGATGCAAAATATATGCAAATTAGTCAGGTTTATTAGATGCTGTTCAGTTGTGGGTCCTTATTGTTTGCCTTTGTTATCCCATTTTGTTTATTATTGGTATTGAAATGTTTTTGAGGACTTTTGAGTTGTTGTATGTGTTTTTTTTTTTTTTGAAGTGGTCAGTGGTAATGGTCAGCGGCAAAAGAATCTGTGTTAATAATTATTCATTTAATTATAGCTTGTTGATACGCAGACACACACACACACCTACATACTCAAACAATGAATGTTTGGCATTTTATGTTTGCTGCTTTAGTTTCAATTTCCTGCTACAAAATGGAAAAACCATCCACATTTCTGAAGAATTAATAACATTGTTTGACTCCGACTCTATGTTATGTATGGCTTGCATTCAGAAAGAATTATGCACACAAATGTTTCCAGCGGTCATAATTTATGACTCATAAATTCAAAGCACATTTATTATCAAATATAATATGGATTACATCTTCTTTATTTTTTGATTCCACTCGGTTATGGGACCGAGACAACTCGGTACAATGCAAATGGAAATATTATTGCACAGTCAAATGAGCACTGTCAAGTGGTTTTTGGCATACGACATCATGAAAAGGGTGATATTCTTCTGTGTGAGTGTATGTGTTTTCACACACCACACTGCGTTAGTTAATGAATCAAAGAGATTTTCTAAATTGCGATCGCATGTACCTATTTTATTGCACCTTACACATTTCTCATAGACAATCATTTGAAAGAAGGTGAATACTGATCTACCCTCTTCATCAACATTTTGCGAATGTAGTAATGCACTTTAAATTATGGTTTTTTAATGTAATTTGCTCTCTTTACCATATTTATATATCATTTCATATCAGATATGTTCCGGGTAAATAGATGGAAAATGGGAAGAATCTTTGTTGCAAACTGTGGCGCAATTTTCCAGGACACCTAGACAGTTTGAAGAGAATGAGCAGACTCGACCTACTTTCGTTACATGCAAATTATGGCGTTTCATTTACAATTTTATGAGTTACTTTACATATTCAGCTGCACTCTCCAACAGCATTGCTGAGTGCTGCTATTGACACAAACCAACTCAAGGTAATTGGGTCATCTTCATTGAAGCAACTATTGCTGCTACTGCTGTTGTGGCCATTGTCACACTCTTTCACACTCTGGGTCGATATTACGAATGGTATTTCTTGCATTTTAACCATGGTTTTTAGTGTCAACATATTGTGAAAGTGATTCAATCAAATGGATTTCTATTTATTTGAGTGTTATATAGTTGTTCGTTTTAATGTCTTTTCATGTTTTCCCGTATAGATTTATTTTTTTTTATGGAAAAACCATGTAATTGGTCAATATGAGGAATTGACAATTCTGAAATGCTATGGAAAAAGGTAGCACTAGGTGGTCAGTTTAAATATGAGAAATACCAGTTACAATAAGCAGTACTCACTCAACAAGTAATGAAATCAGACAAATTGCCTCCAAATGTGAAACAGTGCAAAAAAGGAAACCAATTGATATTGGGTATATAGGAAAAAGGTGATCAACATCGAATATAGCAGTTTCATCAAGTTATTTCTGACCGAATATGCGTTGCTGGTGGGATTGTATATTGTCAACATATGTTTGATATCCTTGCTACTTCGCTGCTATCCAAAAAAGGTGAAGTAAATTCAAAACATATTATCATTTTGTACCGAAGGCACATCAGAATTGCCAAAAAGAACATTTTATTCTTGATAAAGAGTCGACAGTCCAACAGAAGCAACGATATTAATGGCAGGTATATGGCTGCTTTCGTTTAGACCAATTTGCCATTGTACGCAGCGTCTCTCTCTCTCTCTCTCTCTCTCTCTCTCTCTCTCTCTCTCTCTCTCTCTCTCTCTCTCACTCTGAGAGATTGTAATGAATGGAAAGGTGAAGACGAAAACTCACGTTTAGTTTGGTTTTTTCTTCTTGCTAGCACAGTTAAACATCCGAAACTGTTGTAAACAATCATTTTGTGAGATTCCCAACAGCTATCCATTTGTGCGGAAAGAAAAAGAAAAAAAGGTAGCACGTACCGTAAAACATTTATATCCAAGAAATAGACCATTGCTTTTGTTCGCAAAGACCGATAAAATTGTGTGTAGTGAGTGGCTGTGCATGTGCATTATTTGCTCATAGTTTTTTTTGTTCAATTTTGTTTTATTTTCATCAGGGGATCAACTTCACATAATGCTATTGCTGCTAAATTTTTAGAGCGGTTTTTTTTTTCATTTTGATACGGTCCATACTATGTCATTCTGCGGTACATTTCGGTTTGATATGATTTTTTTTCGGCTGGGTTTCAAATTTCTGATCTCCTCCCCTGTGTCGAACTGAATACAATGATAATAATTCAATATAAAAATGAAATAATGTTTTGTTGCCGTTTCGTCAAGTGAGCTATTGTGCTATTAAGAATTAACGTAAAAGCAATTGCTTGTTTTATATTTTTAATCATCTCGTGACCGTTAAATGAAAGTATGATACGACTATAGAGCACAGAACAAGGGGCGCATTGAAGCCGTTTGCTAAAAATAGATAGTACACAACAAAAGCGAAATTGACATTCACTCAAAATGATGGCAACCGCAGATGACAGTATCACTTTGAAAAATGTCAAAGCCTAATTCAGAAACTCAATATATTTGCATTTTATTGAGAAATTGAATGTAAAGCATGTGTTCACAATGCATGAATAGAAGATAAAAGAAAATAAAAAAAAACTGCGCACAATTGAACAGAAAAGTAAATTTGGGAAAATTTGAATTAAATCCAATGATAAGTGAGAGAAACAGAGAGTTGAAAAAAGTTGCCTGTTCAACAAAATTGTTATTCTGGCTTGTGGTTAATCGAACAGAATTGAAATAGAAGTGCACAATGCATATCCGAGGCAAATTCGTACATAAGATAAAAATGTTAAGCCAACTGTGAAAAGTGCTAGAACGCATGTTACGAGCGATGAGATTGTCTGTATAGCAAAAGTCAAAAAAAGTACAAATTAGATTTGAATACATAGATGGATCGACTAGCAGAAACTCTCTTGTTGATAAATAACAACATCAAAAACTGCATCAACTAGAAATGCGGAATAAATCCGAAAAGCGAATAGTATAGAAACAACTAAATCAACTACCTACAAATACGCCATAAGAGACAAAGTAGCTGCCACATCTCATTCATACCAGAAATACGGTATGGAAATCTTTGGTGAATTCAATGATTCCGCATGGAATCCGATTTTACATCGGAACAACCAACGAGCAAGAGGGAGATGGAGAAATAGAGAGAGAAAGTAAAATACACATATGTGTGTCTATATATCCCATGGATGAGTTGAAACGTGAACGCGAATGAATAAATGCTGATGGTGCACACAGACCAACAAGTCACGGTTTATTCGATTTTGCCAAATGTAAACATCGGCGACAATATAAAATTCACTTTGATTACATTTGGAAAAAGCTTTATATGCTTTTTTCTGTTTACAGTGTTCCTTTGCGCAATGTATAATAATGTACACATCAAGCAGCCACAACCAAATCTTTGATTTATTCAATGTTCGGAACGTAAACGTCGTCGTATATGGCTGTAATTCCTTTTTTCATGTATGACTTGATGAAGGAAAAAGGAAAATTATATTTTTTAATAAATGTCGTACTGTGAGAAAATACAATGTACGCTGGCATGTACACCACATGAAATAAGAACACACATTATTTAAACAGGGAAAACATTTCAGATGTGAATTTACTTGAATAAAGTACTGGGATTTGCGGTTTGGGATTGGGGAGAGAGGAAGTGTGTGTGGGAAAATAAACCTGGTTCTGTAATTTACGGGCAATTCCTATTTTTTATAATGTTAAGCGCATCTTTGATAGGCGTGCAAACATTCCATTTCAAACAGAATGCGCACTGAGAAAAGGCTGGAAGGAAATATTCCAATCCTGCGTTGTAAATGTTGTCATTGCAGACGATTTTTTGAATTGTTCAACCATGGTTGGAATTTGACAAGTGCGAAAACGTAGCTGCACAACAGATACACTCTGTGGTCACGTTTGACGTTTATTTTGCCCTGTTTTTATTCTTTACAACAACAAATCATACACATTCTGTATAGTTCGGTACACTGTATACAGAAATTCCAGATGGCGCCAGCTATATTAAATCGCTAGTTGTGCAGCTACGTGCGAAAATGCTATCAATATTCCAACCATGGTTGGACAATTTACAAAATCATTTGCAATGAAAACATTTACAACACAGGATTGGAATATTTCCTTCTAGCCTTTTCTCAGTGCGTGTATGACTTCATCTTTTGAGTGAAAAGAAATGGTTGTCAACAATTTACACATTTTGTCTAGGGGCTTATGACTCTCGCGAATATTGTGAATTCATTTACATTAACGTATTAAAATACGAGTGGCTTGAATGATTGGGTCATTTCTTTTCTATCTCGATTGTATATATGGCAATAATGTATATTTTGTTCAATTTCTTAAAATTCTAAGATAATTGGAATTCGAAAATGTTTTCGCGAATATTCAAAATAAAATAAAATGCTTAAAATTCATGTTATTCAAATGCATTTTTAATTCGCAGATACTTTTAACAATAATTGACAGCTCACTCGCACATTAGTGCCTATTCATGCATTTGCAATGCTTCCATATAACATCTATGTATATATGTATGGCGCGCTAAAGAACTTGTTGGAAACTTTGCCCATGGATTGCATTCTTAACTTCTATCAATGTATTGTTTATGGTTTTTTGGGTGCGTTCATCTCTCAATTGTACTGATTTGACATTTAGAGCATAAATTTTTTCCGAGTGTTTTTGAAATTTGGAGTTTGTTCCGCCCCTTGTATATTTCGAATGCGCTAAACGTATTCCGACCAGGATTTGTTTGACTTAAATAAATAATATAAAACTTCTATATAGTAATGTTATCATTAATGAGATTTAGCGCCACCTGTCGCAAACCATGCATACTAATCAATATGCTAAATAACGTTCAATCTTTGATCCGTTCAGTTTATGCGACCAGATGTTATCGAATAGCAACTTTGTCTAGTGTGCGACATGGGCGCTCAAAGCTATCGTATTTGAAAAAAAAAAAAACTCGGTCGAAAGCATCTCTTGTCAGCGGAAAAGAGACGAATATTTTAGGGCCATATATTATGAAATGAGATAGTAGAAGCATATAAAGAACACGAAAAACTCGAATGCATTCATAACAGTGAATGTACAAACAATGACGAAAAATGGGTTCATGCTTACCGGGGAGCAAACTCTTGAATGGATTATACGCTTTCACATTGTCGGCAAAGTTTTATGATGCGCATTTCGCGCGTCCATCACATATATAAAACTGAATCGCTTAAGAAGCGTAACTTTTCAATTGAGCCATTGTTTCATCGCAACATGTGCACTTTACATGATGGCTGTAATGAAATGTGAATGTAATTGATGCATCCGATTTCATTTTATTCATAATTTTACATTTTGAATCTGAAGAACCAAGTCACAAAAGCCCCCATCGCATTCTTTCCTTCTCGCTCGCTCGTTCGTTCCTTCGCTTGCTCCACTCTTCATTGTGTGCGAATAAAAGGAAACTTTTTGTTCTAATTGTTCTTCAAATATAATTGTTTGCATATGAATGTTTTGGTTGAAGAAAATAAAATGGAGAATATCATGGAGTGACGCTGCTCGGGTTAAATTTGATTAATTTTATATTTGACTCACTTTCTTTATTCATTAACGGCATTCAGAATTTTAAACAATCAAATAAAATCCACCGGCATTATTTCGCACAAAGGCTAATTCTTCTTCTTCTTTTTCGTCATCGTAGTCTTCGCCCTCCCTTTTTTCTTTCGCATCATGTAAATTATCAAATAGTGGCATCAGTTTGATAATAACGATGTGGGTTCTTTATTCTTAAGAGGTCATTTATTGATTTTCACTCGAAAAACATTGTTTTCTACCAACTCCTGACCTATTTTTTGTTTGCTTCTTTGAATTATGAAGGTGATATATTGCAAGATTTCATTACGATGATGCATTATGTATTCTACGAATGCTTCGTAAAATGCGTATCGCAGCAAATTCTAAATTTACAATCGTAAAATAAATACGACTTCATCGTAACATTTTTCGATGCAAAACTATGAATGCCTTTCGTAAATCTGTACTTTTTTCAAAACTCAAAAAGTCTTCATCGTAATATGCACGAATCAATCGTAGATATTACTAAGCTATCTCAATATACACACACACACGGAAAAAAGGTTTAAATATTCGTTACGCCCAATTTTTTCCTTGAAATAAACCAAAATTTGAGATTTCGCAGACAAAATTTATTTCGGCGCCTCCATTTTACATACATTATATAGGTCGAAAAATAAATTTTGTCTGAGAAATCTCAAATTTTGGTTTATTTCAAGGAAAAAAAATTGAGCGTTGCGAATATTTAAACCTCTTTTCCGTGTGTGCACTACGCCATCGTAATATATACGAATGATTCGTAAATATTATAGCGGCATCGTCATATTCACGAATAAAATATTTTAAAATTTACCACGATACATTTTGAGCGTGCACATTGTTCACATCGTTTGCTCTGGATTCAGATAGGATTTATTTAACCCTTTGATGCACAATTTTTTGTTTTTGAATCATTTTGATTTATGTTTTGTGCCACGATAAATAGAGAAAAATCTCATATTTAGATTTTTGAAAAATTGCGTATTTGTCGAGGAAATCGGAAAAGAGTCAAAAGTGTCAAATCATTTCAAATCACTAAAAGCTTGAAAAAATTAAATTTCGTAAAACTAATGATGCAGAAAGTTAAATTGATGTGTTTTGGTCCTACGAGTCCAAATTTGACAATTGAAAAGAATGTACAAACCCACAAGATAAGAAGAGGGAAAATGTGGAATCCTGCTATAATTTAATAATAACTTTCCATTCTGCTAACCAATT